TTAAATTAAAAAACTTTTGTCTTAGCAAAGTCAGAACTTACTGTCCAAATGAAATCATTAAAAATCAAGGCATGATCATATTTTATCTTGGTAAAATAAGCGTAATCTAGAGGTCTTTGCCTTTCCTATTAGACAATTCTGATACCAAATGATCAACTACAAGTCAAGTAATTATTTGTTGCTCCTAAAACTTGGATAATCAACAAGACTTTTTTCAGGCAGTGTGTGTATACATTCATTCATGCATTCATTTTTTGGCAAAACAATACCAATGTATTGTGTCTGCACTTCATGTAATGCCAGTAATGTTAGTAAAATATAAAACAAATACAAAGGCAGATGCAATATCTAAGAATTTAACATCTATCATATCGCTGATGTCATGTCACTGACTTATTATCAGAAATTCATATTTCGTCACTGGAAATATAGACACATTTCAGAGGTTAGATGGATTACTATCCCTCTCTCTACTTGTAGCAGCTTGTAGACAGATGTTTCATTTGGCTGCGTTTGCCTAAGGCCTTGAGCAGGAGAAAAAGTTTAAAGCAGGTACCATAATATAGCTGCCTTGTTACGCAGGGGCCCTGAAGTCTGAGGGCCATAAGCAACAGTGCTGGTCATATACAGTAATGCACAGTACAGTAATGGTCTACATACAACAATGTGAATCTTTCAAAATGCACTCTTTCTAAATATAATCTGATCTTGGACATCAAGACATGAAATCATCACCCCCATATTAAACCAAAGACCTTGCAATTTCTCTGTTCTATAATAAGCCAGTAACTAAATGGCAACTGCTTGAGTTGACATGTCTATGCCAATGTTTTGTATTGATGCATGCTTCCACCCATTACTCCATACATTAATCCACATACACTGTAAAAAGGGATTAGTTATTTAAAGCGAGTAAATCAATTGTCTTAAAAGAAACAAGTTAACTTTACAAAACTGAAGTAAACCCATTGTAACTCGGAATTGTTTAGTTGACTTAATTTTTATTATTATGCAAATTGTATTCACTTTTTTAAAATAAAAGTAAACTAATGACTTTTCCATGACACATTTATTATATTTGTTTTTTTCCAGTTTTTCTGTATAAAGCAAAATGACAGTAACTAAAATAAATCTGCTCTTCCAGACTCTAGTGTGTCTTCTAAATTCAATACAGGCTATAATTGTAGATTTTATAGACTTAATGAAGCACCAAATATGTAATATTGTAACAATTGCAGCAATTATTTGAAAACAGACGTTGCTGAATAGTCTGACATTGTAAAAAAGAATGTTGACTTTAAAAAAGTGAATACAATAAGCATAATTTAAAAAATTAAGTCAACTTAACAGTTCCCAGTTACAATGGGTTTAAGTACATTATTTTTGTAAAGTCATCTTGTTGCTTTTAAGGCAATTGGTTTACTTGCTTTAAGTAACTAATCAATTTCTACAGTCTATCTATTCCATTCTTCCATTTGCAGGGGTTCTTAACCTTTTTTCTTCGAGGCCCACCTCCTTCTCAGACATTTTATTGAAGGCCCAAACTGATTGTCTAGAGAAAATGCTTTTTGAAGGTTTATTTATTAGCAAAACTTTGCCTTCTATTATTCCCTTATATATATTATATATATTGTGCATGTATATTTTAATATAACACAAAATATAATAGTATATACTAGGGCTGTCAAATGATTTAAAAAATGAACTGTAATTAAAGGTGCAGTAGGTGATTGTCTTCAGAAGCATATTTTGTTGTGCCTGTTGAAAGTCTCTTCACAGTCCAATAGTAATGTTTAAAGTAAATAATCTAAATGTGTTTATATTTATAATATTTGAGACTGTAATTTGAGACTGCAGACTTGAGGCTGTAATTTCTGCCATAAACAAAGTATTGAGCAAAGGCTGTGAATACTGTTGTACATGTGATTTTTCAGGTTTTTTTTACTTTTAATAAACTTTTTTTACATTGTCATTATGGGGGTATTGTGTGTAAAATTATGAGGAAATAAATACATTTAATCCATTTTGGAATAAGGCTGTAACATAAAAAAAAAAATCAATACTTTCCACATGCATGCATGCATGCATCCATCCATCCATCCATCCATCTATCTACAACATTCAATATATGATATATCTACCAATCATTCATGTACAGTAACCACCATGCATCTGTCTATCCATCCCTTAATCAATCTATCCATTAAACTATATCTACTTCCCTACATTTGTCTCAATTCACTTCAAGGCAATCTCAATTCACTTCAGTTCAGAGCAGAAAACTGACAATTTAAATAATTATTATTTAATAAATAAATAAATAATCTGCTTGATGGGTAACACACAATTAAAACTGCAGAGGTGTGCATATGAACCGTGTTCACGCTGTGCGTTACAGTCAGTGTGTGTTTACTGGCCCTGTGAAGTGTGTCGGCTTGTTTGCGTGTGCACTTTGCATATGTGTGCCAAACGGTAGCTTCTGGGTGAGAGGCACACTTCACAAGCTCCTGTTAGAAGTTAAAGAGCAATGGGAATGTGTTAGTTGGCGCCTGTGCTTACTAAGACACTTCTGGAGCTCAGCAGGTGAGCAGTCGCACACTTACACACACTTTTACAGCATCAGGTCTCACTCCAGAACCACAGGGCAATTTAACGGCTTCTATTAAACAAAATCTAAGCAAGCACAAAATCACAACACTTGATTAAAGCAGCCGCAAAACTTCCATTCAACGCCTAAACAGCTTGCATTTACAAAATCGCTGAACATTCGGTGTGTATTCATCCTATTATTTTTCATCAATTTTCATCCATCCATCCATCCATTCATACATCCGAATTTATATAACTTCATATAATAATCTCCCATATATATCCATCCCTATCTATCTATCTATCTATCTATCTATCTATCTATCTATCTATCTATCTATCTATCTATCTATCTATCTATCTATCTATCTATCTATCTATCTATCTATCTATCTATCTATACATGTACATATCCATCATCTCCATTCTTCCATTCTCTCCACTCTTTTCTACAGTACTTGTCCATATATCAACTCCACCCATCTGCATACATCCACACTAACAGTATCCATCCTTTATCCATCCATCCTTTCATTTCTATCCATCCATCTACATTCCTACAGTATCCATCTTTCATATTCATCTATGCATCCTTCCATTTCTATCTATTTATTAATCCATCCATCTCCATCTCAATCTGTCCGTCCCCCATATTTATCAATATTTGCTCATATGTATCCTTACATCTTCAGCAAACTATATACATCCATTTTTGTCATCTATATCCATCCCCAAACCCCTTCATACAGTACTTTTCAACTTCATCCTTCCATCTTTTAGCCAATCCATCTTTTACCTTTATCCATTCATTTCTATCCATACATAAATATTTGTCTATATTGATCATCTCCATCCATCTCTCCATGCATCTCCAGCATCTACTTCCATGTATCATCTCCATATGTTCATCGCTCCATATCTATGCTTTAACCTATCCATATGCTCATTCATCCATCAATCCATTCATCCATCTATAAATCAGAGTACTTACCTGTGAACTCCATCCATCCATCCATTTTTAAACATCCATAAATCTGTTAGCATACATAGAAATCCAATCCCGCTTTCACCTTCTTCTAATATCCATTCCTTTTCATTTCTGTCCATCTATCATCTCCACCCATCTTTAGCTCTGTATCTCTCTTGATATTCTTTCATCATATATATCTATGCATCATCTCCATATGTCCATCCCTCTGTATATATCCATATATAATCCACCCATATTCATCCATTTAACCATCCATTAATCTATCAAAATACATCTATTCTAATCCAGCTTTCACCTTCCTGTATCCATCCTTTCATTTCTGTCCTTCTATCATCTCCATCCATCCATCCATCCATCCATCCATCCATCAATCTCTAGCTTTTTATCATCCGTCTTCCTCTATCTATATTCATGTATCATCTCCATATATCTGTTTCTCGATATCTCTCCATTTTATTGATTTATCCATCCATCCATCCGAGTACTTATCTATCAACTCCATCTATCCATCTTTAATCATCCAATAATCTATTAACATCCATTCCAATCCATCACTTTCCTCTATCCACTCATCTTTTCATTTCAATCTGTACATCTATCATCTCCATCCATCTCTAACTCTCTATCTTCATCCATCTTCTTCTATCTATATCATCATCTCCATATGTTTCTCACTGTATCTGTTCATTTGTTACTCCATCCATCCATCGACATACATCTATTCCAACCCAGCTTTCACCTTCCTCTATTCATTTCTATGTCAATCTATCATATCCATCCATCTCTATTTCTCGATCTTCATCCATCTATATGTATCTATATCTCCATATGTCAATCTCTCTATACCTATCCATTTATTTATTCGTTCATCCATCAGTCTATCCGTCCGTCCATCCATCCATCCATTCACCTATCATAGAGTATTTATCTATTAACTCCATCAATCCATCCTTAACCATCCATTACTCTATCAACATACATCTATTTCAACCCAGCTTTCACCTTCCTCTCTCCATTCATCTTTTCATTTCTATCTGCCCATCAATCATCTCCATCCATGCATTTCTAGCTCTCTATCTTCATTTATTCTTCCATATATATCCATTTATCAATCCACTTATTGTTTTTATACATCCTCATTCATCTATCCAAATGTATTTAATACTATTCAGTATTATTTGGTTTAAATTCAGCTTTCATGAACATGCTTTGACTAACAACGGTTAATGAAGTCACTGAACAAAAAGACCAAATATGAATATGAATATTGGGCATTGTGTGATGAAAACACCATTGATCATGAATATGGTAATCATTCTCCACCACAACTTAAATAAAAACACCATAGTATTAGCGACTCCACCATGGCAGAGCCACTACACTGTTTGTTTGTTGCAAGCATGGTAAGGTGGACACACACCTGCAGAAAGGAAATGATGAGGATTCAGAAGCCTCTTCCTCCACAGAGACGGCGTATTTGACTTCACCCGCAGTCTGGCCGCCAGCCGCTACCATGGCATCGCTGCTGCTTTGATAATCTCTCCACGTTCCAGACTAATGACAGGGTGAAAATGGGTGGTGGTGAAAGGGGGGGATCTCGCTCCCAGGTCTGGAGACAACTGTAAACGTCTGTCATTACAGCAGAGGTAAAAATCATCCCACACAATTACAGGTGCCCACTGTACACAGAGACTGAGGAGAAATGCTGGGCTCTGGGCAACAGGTGGCTGGAGTTTAACACTGGCGAAACATCAGATGATCGAACATTTTATGATTTCAGACTATTTGATTTAATTGAAAAATGGGCACATAATTAACAAAAAGGAGTCAATAATTTGTACTAAGCGCTTTAACCGTACTATGATTGTATTGTTTTCACAATTGGCAGAAAATGATCAGGACATCTACCATCCAGCTAATCTGCTCATACTCACTCTTTGTGCTGCTGTTTTCTTTCCAGAGTAATGTCACTTCCAGGTGGCTGACGTCATTGGGGATCAGGCATCAGCTAGTTATTGAGATATTATTAGACAGGACTGGAAGTGATTGAGAGGATTACACTGTAAAAATAAAATAAAAATAAAATAAAAATTGTATATATATATATATATATGTATATATATATATATATATATATATATATATATATATATATATATACACACAGTACATACACACATATATAAATACAGTACATACACACACATACATATATACATATATATATATATATATATATATATATATATATATATATATATATATATATATATATATATATATACACACACACACACACACACACATACACATAATATATATATATATCCATAAATGAACAATTTTCTGTATTTTTGTGATTGATGCTTTATTTAATCACATTTATTAATAGCAATATGGGACTTTGACATTTTGTTGTTAAAAAGTGACGTTTATTAATATTTTTAATAGTTTTTTTTAATAGTTATTATCTGGGTTGTTCCTGTAAATTATGGTACAGAAACCTGTTATGAAACTGCAGTCCATTTTCTGTTATTTTACGAATCTAATTTGCTTCAAATAGTTTCTTGTGAGAGTTGTCAGGTTTTAATTTTCAACCACAAAAGATGACTAAGCAGAGATCAAAGTCTTATGATGAAATCAAGTCAAGTCAAATTTAAGTCTTTTTAGAACCATGAAGAATTAAATTTCAGACTTATATAGGGCTAAATGCTAAGGATTTTTTAATGGCCCAGAGGGAAAAAAATCTAATTAGTAATTTCTTAGCAACACATTTTAAATAATGTGTCAAAACAAGCAGACCTTAGTTGTATAAATACGTTTTTGTTCAACGTTACTTAAAAAAAAAAAAAAAAAAAAAAAAACTCTTTAAAAACATGTTTGCACCACAAACTACAGTTATAATATTAGTAGGGCCAGACAGAATCTGCGGGCCTTTTTTTGTAAAAAAAAATCTGCAGATTTCTGTGGAATGATTTTTGGAGTATTATAACTAAAAACTTTATATATTATTAAATAAAAATATCTTTTTAGCTTTTATTTAATGATTACAATACAAATCCTATTACATCCACGTATTTGCTAAACAAAGCAAGTCTCTCATATAATATATATAATCTCATATAATCAGTTGGTGGAATGAACTCCCTAACTGCATCAGAACAGCAGAGTCACTCGCTATTTTCAAGAAACGACTAAAAACTCAACTATTTAGTCTCCACTTCACTTCCTAATCTGCAATTGCCTCTTTGAATATCACACTAACTGTACAAAAAAAAAATAAAAAAAATACTAATACTACTAATACTACTAAAACTACTAATACTTCCCTTCTTAGACTTTACAGACCTGAAACTTGCCTTTAGCACTTATTCATTGTTGCTCTTATAGTTGTGTAAATTGCTTCCTTGTCCTCATTTGTAAGTCGCTTTGGATAAAAGCGTCTGCTAAATGACTAAATGTAAATGTAATATCTCTAAAAGACAAAAAATATTCTTTTTACAAATCTGTATTGTAAATTAATCATATGAAAATTTTCATTTTAGTCAATATTATTACTGAAATTAGAATTAGTCAAAATTAATTTAAAAACTGAATAAATATAAATTTACACACATTAACACAAGTAAATAAATAGATACAATGATGGGCTAAAAATCTGCTGAAATCTGTGGAATTCTGTGGAATCCGTGTGGGCCTAGTTTTGCTAAAAGTTTTATTAAGATATGTTGTTGGTGATTGGATGTGTTTTGGATCAAATGGGCAGTTTTACATAAACAAAGGAAAATCAAGACCCATTTAAAATGATTCAGGACAATATTTCAGTGAAGTCAAGACTATGTAAGGCATAAAACTGTGTTTTTGAACTTGAAAACTAATTTTGAGGTTCACATATACTTATGATGGAATACAGCTGGTCATGCATTAGCCAATTCATGATTCACCAATAAGGCGATTCCTAAGTCACTATAAATACCCTAAGTTCCCTCTCGCCTGCAACTGGAGGGAGCCCTGGGCTCGACGATCTTCTAAGCTCAGGGCTCTCTCCTGGGACAGCATGCCAAACGCTTTATAATCTATCATCAGCAAGTGTGAACTCTATAAGACATTTTAAGACCCTGTGGTTAAACTGTATAATGTTTAGATTAACTATCAATATGGAACATGTTAATTAACAGTGTAACCGAGTTTTACAGCATACCAATTTTGAAAAAGAGTAGCTGAAAGGATACTTGTAGAATATTTCTATAATTGCGGAATAAAAATCAGTTCTTAGATGATAGAAATGAGTTAATTTTTTTTAAAGATATTTTGTAGAATACATTTTAGTTAATCAAAATAGTTCATTAGTTAAAATAAGAAATGTGTTAACTATCCTAAATATTTCTGAATAAACTGCAGAACAGATTTTAGTTCTTCATCATAGAACTTTAGTTCATATTTTATCCCTCTTTCAAGATTTGAGACAAGTCTTGTGTGTCTCCAGAGTGTGTCTGTAAAGCTTCAGTTCAAAACACCCATCAGATGATTTTTTATTCCTTTCAAAATATTGAATTTTTCTTCCCTGAACACAATGTAGCTGTTTTTGTGGCCTGTGCCTTTAATGCTACTTCTCCCCACCCACCGTTCCCACATGCCTGTCAGAGTGTGCCTCAATCTCCACCTTGGCTGTGTCAGATAAACAGAACAGTGACAGACATGAAGGAAGCAGATCTCATTTAACGTTTATGAGAAATACTACAGTAAGAACTTTCCCAATGATTATTTGATGAATTTGTAGAGACCGATGAGTTACATGCAATGTCATTCAAAGTTCACAAACACACACACAGACAGCGAACATGTTAACTTTGCACTGTTTTTGCCTGCAAATGTGACAGGATACACGTTAATATCCACGACTGTATGGATATCCGTTATGTTAATGTCCAAAAAAACCTGATTTAATGTCCACAACCTGGGATTGAATGGTCTTCTTTTATAATAGTACTGACATGCAGCTGTGGCGATAAAGTAAAGCTGAAGTAAATCGCTGCAATTCATAACAAATATGCACTGTTTTAAAAACTTTTTGAACTTGTAAAACTCGTTCCTCATTACATTTGATGATGATTGATGATCACAGAGAGCTGAACAGATCTTTTAATCCCAGTTGCTTTGTATACGTCCTGTCTTGACTATATAATTATAAACGTTACTGCAGAAACATGTTAATAAATGGCAGTCAATCAATTGGTTCGGCAGGGAAACCGCACTCCTACGTCACGTTGCCGTGGGCCTTAATAAGGGAGTGATTTGGATCCTATTTTAATTTCAGGAAATTTTTTAATCTTATATATTAAAGCTTTATTCATTCATTCATCCATTTTCCTTTCAGCTTAGTGCCTTTATTAATCGGGGGTCACCACAGCGGAATGTATATAACCAACTTATCCAGCATATGTTTTACACAGCAGATGCCCTTCCAGCTGCAACCCATCACAGTGAAACATCCATACACACTTATTAAAACTTTATATTAACCTAATTTGTCTGTGGACACAGTATACCTGTTCACAGTTCAGCCCAAACAGCTCCCAAAAGATTCAAAATATGAACCTGATGCAGTACATTAAAAAATAGGAATGGCACAAATACTAATTCTTTTTGATTTTTAAATGGACTTAGATAAACAACAGTGCAAGTGCTTTTGAGCTTTATTCACTTTTTTTGTATTGTTTACACAGTTTTTATAGCTCACAGTAGCTGAGGAAAAGCCAGGAGTGTGTCCACCCTCAGCACAGCACATCCAGCGTTTGGGATAAATTTGACTTCTTCTAGATGATTATTTGTGTTGGTTAGAGAAGAACAGCGCTGTGGTTCGAGGAGGAGACGAGGCCGTGAACAGCCACGTCTCCACGGGCAGGCATCTGCTGACAGAGATCTTATAGGGATCCACACTGAAGCGAAAGAGGATTTGGAGAGGTAAGCTTCGCCTCCAGGTTTGATTCCTGCTGTTTCCATTTACCCCACTTTTGATGCCGTCCACCTGATATCACTTTACTTTAGTCTTACCTGGCCTTCCTTACAAATGCTCCGGATGCTTGTTATGCCAGCTCTCAACACAAACACAGACAGCGCTAATGATGGAGGCTGCAAAGCATTATGGAGCTGCGCTGTGGGCCGTTTTTTTCCTTTTCCTTTTGGGCAGTTCAGCAATCACAGCAAGGGCAACTGCAATTCAGACAAACACCAGAGATTGTCAAAGCATTTAAGTCTGTGCGGTCCTTTAAAAAAGTCTGCGAATATTAAAATCAATGTGGCATGAGCTTTTGATTAACGTACATTATTGCTCGAGCGTGGCTGCTCTCAGCTCACAGCAGACAGATGGAGGTTAGCGGGGTTAAAAGAGAGAGAGAGACGGGAGAAAGAGAGAGACGAGAGAAAGAGACGTGTAATTTACCAAAACAGCTTGAAAGAGTGGAAGCAGGATTCTGTTTTACTTTGGTATAATTTCATCTCCTTTGCCTTGGACTGATTATGTGTTTTAGGTTTAGGCGAGGCTTCTCGTCTTTTTTCTTCTCTCTCCACTTTTTTTTCTTTCAGTGTCTCTCTGAGCTGTTAGGGAAGGTCTTATAAGATATTTTAAGATAGCTAAATTAATTTCACCAGCTCGTGTTCAGTGAACAAATATTAAAAAGAGCACTCCACCTTTATATTTTGGAAATAGGCTCAACTTCCATAGAGTTAAAGAGTTCATGCAGTATTATTTTTTTTTCTGATTAGCCTCTATTTCAGAGGTTGCCAAGGTGGAATGAACCACCAACTATTTCAGCATATTTTTAAGGAACCGGATACCCTTTTAGCCACAACCCAGTACTGGGAAAAACCTATACACGCTCATACAATGCGAAAAAAGATTTTTAAAATTGTTGCAAATTTATTAAAAATAAAAAACCTGAAAAATCACATGTATATAAGTATTTATAGTCTTTGGCGTGAAGCTCTAAATTGAGCTCAAATAAATTCTGTTTCCACTGATCATTCTTGAGATGTTTCAGCAGCTTAATTGGAATTCACCTTTGGTAAATTCAGTTTGAATGGACATGATTTGTAAAGGCATACAGTTGTCTATATAAGGTCTCAGGGTTGACAGTGCATGTCAAAGCAAAAACCAAGCATGAAGACAATTTTCGGTAGACAAGGATCGTCTCGAGGTACAAGGCTGAGGAAGGTTACAGAAACATTTCTGCTGCACTGAAAGTTCCAATGAGCACAGTGGCCTTCATCCTCCGTAGGTGGAAGATGTTTGGAACCACCAGGACTCTTCCTAGAGCTGGCTGGCCATCTAAGCTGAATGATTCGGGGGAGAAGGGCTTTAGTCAGGGAGGTGATCCATAACTTTATAGTCACTCTGTCTGAGCTCCAGCGTCCTTCTGTGTAGAGAGGAGAACCTTACAGAAGGACAACCATCTGTGCAGCAATCCACCAATCTGGCCTGTATAGTAGAGTGGCCAAACGGAAGTCACTCTCCACCTGGAATGTTTAAAAAAATGTATCTGAAGGACTCTCAGACCATAAGAAAAAAATTCTCTGGTCTGATGAGACTAAAATTGAACTCTTTGAAGTGAATGCTAGGCGTTACATTTGGAGAAAACCAGGCAGCGCTCATCACCAGGCTAATACCATGCATACAGTGAAGCATGGTGGTGGCAGCATCATGCTGTGGGGATGTTTTTCAGCAACGGGAACTGGAAGTCTAGTCAGGATAGAGGAAAAGATGAATGCAGCAATGTACAGAGACATCCTAAATGAAAACCTTCTTCAGAGTGACCTCAGACTGGTGTGACTAATCATCTTTTAGCAGGACAATGACGCAAAGCACACCGCCCAAATACCAGTGGAGAGGCTTCACAACAACTTGGTGAATGTCCTTGAGTGGCCCAGCCAGAGCCCAGACCTAAATCCTATTGAAGATCTCTGGGGAGATCTGAAAATGGCTGTACACCGTCGCTTCCCATCCAACCTGATAGAGCTTCAGAGGTACGGGCAAAAATTCTCAAAGACAGATGTGCCAAGCTTGCGGCATCATATTCAAAAAGACTTGAGGCTGTAATCGCTGTCAAAGGTGCATCAACAAAGTATTGAGCAAAGACTGTGAATATTTATGTACATGTGATTTTTCAGGTTTTTTATTTTTAATAAACTTGCAACAATTTCAAAAAATCTTTTTTCACATTGTCAATATGGGGTATTGTGTGTAAAATTTGAAGGAAAGAAATGAATTTAATCTAGTTTGGAATAAGGCTGTAACATAAAAAAATGCTGAAAAAGTGAAGCGCTATGAATACTTTGCGGAGGCACTTTAAAATAATTATAAATACAAACACAACACTGGACAAAAGAGCCATTTTAAAAGTCTATACGTATATATGAGTAAAGGTATGAGCAAAAATTCAATACAGATGAAATTTTGCTACATTATTTAAGGACTGCAAGGCTAATGGTTAAATAAAGAGAGGTAGAAAAAAAAGAGACAGCGAGTGTGAGTAGGTTTATGGAAACTATGGCAGCGTTGTGCGTTTATTCTGCCAGAAATGACAGCGCAGGAGGACACGAGGCAGTAAACCCAATATCACCTAACGTTAATGTGACGAGGGGAAGAGAAAAGGATTTCAGGAATGTGGAGAGAGAAAGAGAAACAGAAGGAAAATAAAGCCTTTTCACCCTTCAAACCACATGAAGGCATCTGCACTGCTACTGTATCTACCAATTACTATTAGCTTATTTGAACTTTGTGTAAAAGATCAAATGTCTGCAAAAATCAAATTATCAACCCTGCAAATATCATTCAGGCAACTAATGACAGTTTAGCAGAAAAAAAATCCACAAATATTAATAAAAACCAATATGACATAATTCTGCAGTTCTGAGTATGATTTCTTTGGCTGTTTATGACCATTACTGAATGTACAGTAACAAGTTAATAAGAATTCCCTAACTAACAAGCTACATTTAACACATTTTAACATACTGTATTTAAATTCATTTTCCTTATGAAAAAGTGGGAAAATCTGCAAATTCTTTATGTAAATTGTGGCTTCCAAACAATGGTGGCTTCTGCAGCAACTCCCCAGTGGATGTCCAGTGTTTTCCAGCCACTAGCACCTAGACTGCAGCTCTGCACAAAAAGTTTGGCTAAAGAAGAAATGGCTGTGCCCAACTGAGCCTGTTTTTTTCTCCACTTTCGTCAATTGGTAACATTTATTCCTCGCCACTAGCTTGCTTGGTTTTAGACTTGTGTAGCTGCGCATAGATGTATTTGCTCTGTAGTGTTCAACCTTTCAGCAGTGAAAAACCACACTGAACTGAACTAATCTAAACTTCAACTCTGAAACAGGACTGACAGTTTCAATTTGCTAGAACTTCTATGTTAAGCTGTTTTGACACAATCTACATTGTAAAAGTGTTACAAAAATAAACATGAATTTAATTTAATTCGATCATGTTGTCCCAAAACAAATTGATTAAATTTACTTAATATTTTTTTACAAATTTAAGTTCATCGAACATAAAACAATTAAGTTGCTTTTTTGTGCTTCGGCAGAACCTTAAAGAGGATTTTTAGCTGAAAATGTGACCCATGGTGATTCGTAATATGCAAAAATGCAGGTCAAATGCTTCTTGCTATTTTTGTTTTTTCTAATATTTGTGGGAATAACCTTAAATATATTTTATGACTCTAAATGAGCATTTTTTTACCTTATGCCAAACAACATTTCAATATTAATAAAAGATATTTAAAAAAATAAAATAAAATAAAAGACATTTAGTAAATGTTCTTTCATAAAAAAATGAAACTTCAATTATTGATTAGTGATATGCATTGCTAAGCACTTCATTTGGACTAAAAATTAAGTTATAAATCTATACATTTACAAAAGTTTTGACTGGTTTGACTGATTTTATTACTGGTTTGTTATGATCCATGGTTTAAAGATCCAATTATTACATATGCGTCCTGAGGATACATTGAGGTGTCATAAAGTGAAAGAATTGGTCATGAATGCACTCAGGACCATATCGTACCTGCAGAATAATGTGGATTAATGTAGTAATTGCTCTCTTTCTTGCACTAACTGATTGCTAAATATAAAATGTTTCATAAAGATTTTATATTTTTATAAAGAAACCTGAGCACCCTGGACCATTATCTTTCTGCTTTAGGGTAAGGCAGAGGAAATGGAAAGCTCATTGCATATTCCAAAAAAATGATAAGAAGAAATAAAGAAATAAAAATGGAGAGGGCAGATACACGAGAAGGTGTTGCTTTTTCAAATTGAGTGCATGTGTTCTCAGGAAGTCATGCAGATATCTAGTCTCATACTGCTAGCAGCAAAACGAACCAGAATTGCAAATGTGCAAAGCTATTTTATTGCAAAGCAATTTTATTTTATAACCCACATGCAACAGAAATGCCTTTAAATACTAAACCTTTATCTGGAATATTAAAAGAATCTGAATTCAATTATTTGTGCCATGAAGAAATAAACATTTAATGTTTGGCAATCAAACACAAGCATTTGTGTTTAAGTAGGTCTGTTTGGAGAGAATTTGTTGAGCTTTCATGACTAGCCACAAGTCTTGGGACTTTTTTCAGTCTGCCCAATTTGATGCTCCATTATAAACACACAAAACCTTTAATTAATGATGCTCAGTGCAAGAACGGTAGCTGCTCTTAGTGTATGAGATGAGATTTATCTTGAACACTTGCAGTTCAGCTTTCTTGGTTAAAAAATTATACATTTGGGCCTTTTCTTTTTATGCTCAGTGTCATTTTTAGATTGAACAGAGAAAAAATGTGTTTGTGGCATACACTTATTCAAATGAAATGCATTAAACAAATAAAACGGCATCAGAGATTAATGAAACCAAATCTGTCAGATGTGAACGTAACCTTAAAGTGCATTAAACAATCACATTCATCATTGTCTACTCAACTTTATGTGATGCCAAACCTGCCTGTCTTTCTTATTTTAGAAGTATCTTGGCCAATTAATGGGGACTGAGCCTTTAGAAGTGAACAAATAAATCGATCAATCAATCAATCAATCAATCAATCAATCAATCAATCAATCAAAAAAAAAACACAATTTACCAAAATTATAAAAGTGTTTCTATACGTTGGAAAAAGTTGGTTCATTATTCTATTTTGTTTTTAGGGTATTTTTGGAAATTATTTGGTATTTGTTTGGAATTATTTGTTTTAGTGAAACAGTGCTGTAGAGAATATTCATGAGAACATTTATTTAAAATAGCTTTGTTTCTAATAATGTAAAATTGTTTAGGTTTCTGGTAAGGAGGGCAGTCAATCAAACAGCAAAAATGTATTCATAGACTGTATTAGAATGAATTTTTTTTATATTGAACAAGTACTTTTGAATGACATTTTTAAAGAAAATCTTATTTCTAATAACATGAATATTTTATTTATTTATTATTTTTATATTAAATTCAGCACTTGACTATGGCTCGTTTGTAAGACTGGCTTATTTAAGAGTGTTTTTCAGTCTCAGAATAAACAATCGTTGAGTATTGCAACATAATTGTGA